CTAAGTTGCTTGTGCCTGTTTGAGAGAGCGGGAGCATGTGTTCGCAAACCCGTGGTCAGCTGTGGTTGCGACCTTAACAAATAGTCGTCACATTGAACGGTTAAGCCAATATGAAATATTTATCTCTCTGTTGTGCAGTTATAGTACGTAGTTGCACTCATTGAACACGAAAAATGAATCACGGAATACGAATCACTGATTAGCAGCCCAAGGGGTTCAAGTAAGCACTGGACCACGCTGGTACTTACACGCAATATCTCACGTAACCGAGACGAGAGGAAAGGGCCACATGAGTAGTATTTCGTTTATTGAAAGAAATAAGGGGGATTAAACAATATGCACAAAACAATATCATTGGTTATTCGGGCCTCTGCCAATCGCGTTCCACCATTGCTTGTATCTATCTGCTCCTGTGTGGGCCGCACAGGTCGTCATTGGCTGGTAAGATCGACCTATGGTATGTAGTCCAGTGGCTGTGTCACGCACGCGCTTTGCTGACGTCACCCGTGATTGATCACAGTTGTCCTAAAACTGTAACGCGTCGCTCTGGGATATGCGTCATCTCGCAGGCTGCGATCACCAAAACACACCACCCCAAATTAATTAGTAAGTAAATAATTACACTTTAGTCGAGTGAGGGTTATCGAATATTTAGGGCTGTCGATAGATATTAGTTTCTAGATATATATGCATATACTGTTGTAACAACCGAGGTACTCAAACAATCATCCCCACTGCGAACAATTTTTTCTCGTATTTATCGATCAAGTCGCTGTTCTCGTTTCATTTGGCTGCTTTTGAGTGATATTTACCATGCTCCTGAAAAGGAGCTTACAGTCTTCACATGGGAGGGGGGCGGAGTCAATCAACAGTCACGGGTGTTCAAGGTCGTTGCATGACTTTTTTGTGAGTTGCTCTGATCGCATAAATTCTTCAAAATAAATATTTCCTATTTTGCAACACTCACATTTCCCGAATGACAATCGTTCAGTTCATCGTCATAAATATCATCATTCATACATAATATGAAATCCAGCCGGTAATCTACCACTGACTAACCCACAAACACTTTACTGTCCTGGGTGGGATAGTAGCTTGAATAGACAGAGCACTGGGATTGACTTGACGTATAAGTTGCATTTGAGCCAACTGGTTATATTCCCTTATTTGTTCTTTACTGCCAGATGGTCACTGACACCTTCATAGGTAGATAATTGGTAGATAATTTATTTGCTCGGATATACTGTGAAGACGTGCGTCAGTCGATCCAAGGCATCTCTTTCTACACAAGTCAAGGGGATTAACGTCAGATTTGTGAAACGACGGAGCGTTTCGTTTTGCACAGAGTGAAATAACACGGTTCGATTCCGTTTATGCAAGTTAGTTTTTTTGCTACGACAACCTGTAAATCTATGTGGCGTGGAATCAATCTGCTCTGCAGGCAGAAGAATGAAAGTAAATCCCAGTCCCGCTATTGATATTTAAAAAACTGAATGATGCATTCAGTCATTCCTCTCCCGACACATGTCACAGTGATTGTGACTCAGGTTCCCTGAAAACCCCATTTTGCATCACCTCTAGTGAGATGTGTAAACACATGTGTTCTCTCAAGGTGTTGACCGCACGTGGTCCAGACAACTCAAGTTCTACCCTTCTTGAACAAAGTGCTCTGCCACTGTCTCACACTCTTGAACAGAGCTAATATTCCACTTGAACTCTGTCCCCAATGTAACGTCCAAGGCCCCAATAGCGAAGTGTTTCACATCAATTGCTCTCGCTTGCACTAGTTTGAAAGTGACGGAGCGATCAGTTGTGCATCGCCTTTAGTTAGCCCTTACCATCCCCGGTGATACTTATCCGTTTGCATTCAAACAGAACCGCTCCACATTGGGTGCAGCTTTGACGCGGTGCTCCGTTCTCGTTTAATTGACAAGCTCCAATCGTTTGGCTGTCCCACTTCTCTCCTTGAATGGCTTGATGATTACTTTTCGAAAAGAATTCAGCATGTCAACAAGACAGCCACCAACGGCATCACTCACTAGTTCGGGTGTACTTCAAGGTGCTGTCTTATCACCGTGTTATTTCGTGACTTGTATCAGTGACGACACTTCATGTATGCTGATGTTATCACCATCTCTTTTATTCGTAACTAAACAAGCAGAACTGGCTGTCTATATAACAAACAAAACGTATCTCACCTAGTTAAGTATTCCACTTTATCCGGTCCTAATCTTAATCCCCAAAATACTTTGAATGTATTTATTTTACTTTAAACCATCCCCTATCGCCCTCCCGCAATGTTCCAGTTCAGAGAAAGATTATGGGGACGGTCAGCCGAAGTGAGGTCATTAGGCGTGAAGTTTGAAAGTAACCTTCGCTAGTCCTTACCTACCCAAAGTGTTCTTCCCAAGTTGAAAGTTCTCACGTGTCTAGTACAAAGATTGCGTCACTTCTGTTCTGATTTTTCGGTGATAGAAGCCATTCTTCAACAATGTGTTCTGCCTATACCACTTTACTGGTCCCCTGTGATGTTATCCGGTTTGCTGAAGGCCGATTCCAAGTTTCTCGAGGGTGGCCTCCCAACGGTCAGCTGTGTTTCCCAAGTTATGTTATCTGTTCTCATAGACAAAATGTGTAATGCTCATATTGATGCGTCCTTGGAGTTTATTGACAATATTCCATCTGATTGCACCCACCCTTGGCATTTTGACCTGCAGGCATAGAAATTCCACCCGTCCACCTGTTCCATATAAAAATTCAACCCCTTCCTTGCCCGGATACTGACCGACAAGGAACGTGTTCGTTCTGAGTCTTCGAAAGCACTTGGTGGTTACTTCACATATTGGCACTTCTGACGCTCCACTTTTCCCTCTTTCTTGTCAGCATTGTGAGGAGGGGTCTATTTTTGTCTGATAGCCTGCAGATAACTTTGATAAAGCATCAATGCAATATACAATTGACGTGAAATCAACCACTGGAGCCGACGAGGATAAACTATTGTTTAAGTTACATGAGATTAGTGGAGGATTTGGTTGTGAGAAGAGTAAAATAGCGTAAACTAAAAATCTATACCAATCACAGCATATATGTCTCCAGGTTCATAAGGATCTCTTCAGTAGTGCGAATCCATCGACCCAGTTAGTGATCGAAACGGAAACCTCATAGGTGGAATGCGAGTACACTGTCCACCGAGCAGCTGATCAGACCTCAATGCATAACCCTTCTTGGCGAGCCTAATACACGCACATCGCACCTTAAGCATCCCAGTATCTCACCGTTCTTCAAATCATCATTAGAGCAGCATTTCAGTATAGAGCGCTGCAAATCGAAATTTGTGAAATGGTTTCCAGTTACTTGGAACCCGTGATACAGCAATTCTGAGGCCTTCATTTGATACGTGATTTACATTACATGTGCCGAGTGAATCACTTTGAAACAGAATTTCCTACTAATTAAATAAATCAATAATAATTTAAATTTGACATTACGTATTCTTATTGACTATGTGGTATGCACCGAAAAGAAATGTACAGCTTGTCCGTCAACAGTGTGCACTTATGTACGGTTGCTTGCAGGAATCCTTAGATTTGAGCTAAATGGTCGACGACCAAACCATTCGGTGAATGGTTCGAATATTCTCAATGTTTCTTTTTAGATTTTTTCTTTGGTTTTTCCCATAGGCACTGCTGTGGGTTCCTTGTGCTTGCTTTGTAGTTTTCATTGTTCGACAATACGCTGATTTCTCCTACTCCATACGTGCATTTTAGTTGATGAGGAAAAATTCGGGTGTAAAATGCAAGATAATTGGTCTGAGGAGTCAACCTTTGTGACAATTGAGTAGTGGTCCGTCTACGAGAACCGACTGAGTAATAACAGATAATTGACGACTGGGTTGGGTATGCGTAACCGAAACCGTTGTCTTATGAGTATCGAATTTTCATCACAATGAAACAGCATGTCACTAACCAAAAGTACCGTGATAACGATTGTCCAAGCATATCTGACCGTAGACTCAAAACAATCAAGTTATACATCTCAAAATACCGTAGCCGTAGACGACTTGGAACAAATGAATGCGTGCGGTTGTACGTGCCCGCGTTGGTTGTGGTTATATGCGAAGGAGTGCGTACCCGTGTGTTTGCGTGCGTGTGTGCGTGCATGCATGCGCCCAGAGCGCTTTTCGTACATCCTAACTCACTCTGACCATTTGTAGTTCGCTAATGGGAGTCACGGTACCACGTGCGTTCTGATGTGTGTGTATAGGGGTGGGGAGGGGGGCGGGGTGGGGCGGGGACTGAGGTCATTGCACTCGTCCATACGATCACAAATGAGACGCTATCCTGTGTGTGTGTGTGTGTATGTGTGTGAACAGTCGCACGCGTTGTCAATTTATCACGAACAGGCACGCGCGCACATACACACGCAATTTCAATGTGTGAGAGAGATGGATGAGATACCCACCACCACCAACAACAACAACAACAACCACATCAGCACCAACGCAACCAACACAACCAATCGGTCTCACACCTGTCCGTACAAGCACATAAGCATAATCTCGGAGCACATAGCCACCAGACACGAACAAAAACTTAGACGTGCACAATGCACGAAGCCAAGCGACTAAAATCGAAGCCGAAACACTAACTTCATTGTGTTTCGTTGACTTCATAGAGAAGTGGAGTATAAATATACCAAATCCATGTGAAGTGAACACATCCAATTCCATCCGCACCGTCATTGCTTGCCGGACGCCTGGAGAGTGTTTGTGTCTGTAAAACAAATCGATTTGACCGATAACAAGCTCTCTTCTAACAATGACCGAGCACAAAGCTGTGATCAAGAATGCTGACATGTCTGAAGATATGCAACAGGACGCGGTGGAATGTAGTACCCAGGCATTGGAGAAGTATAACATCGAAAAAGATATTGCCGCATATATCAAGAAAGAATTTGATAAGAAGTACAACCCAACTTGGCACTGCGTAGTCGGACGTAATTTCGGCAGGTACGTTCTCTAAAGTGCACGGTATAGTTACGTAATTATTTAGGTCTGTATATGGCCTGACACTACGTGATACGTTATTCTTGTGCTTAGATGGATGTTAGACCCGTGAATTTTACCGCATGTCAATATATCAGTGAAACTCAGTATTGTCCCAAGCCTAGTTTAAGACAGACCAATTAAAATCCTGCGTCATGTATGACATGATTTCCTTAAGATATTGCGAACAACTTACACTATATTTCTGTTTTGTGTTTCTCCCGTTCCAGTTACGTAACACACGAAACGAAACACTTCATCTACTTCTATATCGGTCAAGTTGCTNATAAAGTAGCTTTTTGTTGCAAAATGTGCTTTCTGGTCGATTTTTCCTCTTTATCCTGTTCACCACCTTCGCCTCGGAACGCTCACGATCACGTGATGAACAGACCGTGTCGACCTATTATGCCTCAAAGTCCAAGTGACACTGGAGAAGGTGACTGTGCACAAACATCGACCCACTCGGTGGGACCGCCATCGTCAAATCCAATGCAAATCGAGAACCCGGACTGAGAATATTCTATTCCATGCGTATCGATACGTCACAGTTCGCTCTTCGGTAGACAAACGAATACAACAAAAATCAATACGGAGGTGTGTGCGACGAAAGTGTTGAAAACGCATGTGTTAAACTGGTGTGCGCGTATCCATGAATCGATCTGCCTATCACAAAGAGCGACAACAATATCAACCGGTTGATGGAGCGAATCAAGGGTTAAAAGATAGCCAGCACACAGTCGTATAGTGGTTTTGCGACGAAAATCATGCTGATCAGGCAATCAGAACGAGAATGAGACTGGTGAAACCGGAATCGGTCTACCATTGTAGTTATTGATTTTTAATTTTGAGGGCATTCGTGAGTGGCGAGAAACGACTGATTTGTTGATGGAGTACGTTCTCCAGGGGTAGGCAAATGATGGAACTCCGTAAAGCATGTGATGTATCTGATTAAGTCACTGAATAGTTAAGTTTCTCCAAGAGCAGTGTGAGGCTGCCAAGTTTAGTCAACATCCTAATCGTCGTGAAACCGGGCAAAATGAATAGTGGGATAAAAGCTATAAAAAATGTTCCCCATGAATATGTTCATAACAAATATATGTTCGGTATGCGTACTTTGTATCTACCGGTTTCCTTTTCATCTGACCGTTGATCAGCATCTCTGAATATTATTTCAGACCAAAGGGGGTTGTTCTCTTGAGAATCGCTCACCAATATATTGGCTAGTAGAATTTGACCCATCGTACAGTTGCATACCGACCCGCATGATCTATTTACAATTACTCTGCAGATGATCAAAGCTTGTGCAACTACGGATGGTAAATCTCTTATGCAACATGTGGTTTTTTCCACTTGAATCTACAGGTCAGCATGTTTGGTTGGCTCAGATAGCACGGTTTCAGATCCCACCCGTATCCTGTGAATTTTACCGTTCCAGAACAATCCCAGCAACTAAGGGCAACTATTTTCGCAGACAAAGTGCGTATGACTAAAAAGATCAAACGTGTGGTATTCCGGTCTTTTGCTCACATTAGTGGGTTTAGTTGGGACCGATGACTTCTCACGAGTTTGATCTAGTGGATACAATAGCAAGCGTTCACTGCTGCAATGATATATTCTAACACTCAGGAGCTGTGTGGGCTACAAACATCTGCAGGCGTCATCTTGTAGATAGACTGTTTGCTGCCTGTCAGTTTTCCCTCCCTCCGAATGTGAACAAACAATCGAAAGAAAAGGAAGCAAATAAATGGTCAGGGGAACCGAGATCTCAGACTTGTCGTTTTGGCTTGTTCACATGTGCCTGCGAAATGTTTTTATTTTTCTCTCACCGGTCTACTTGAACGATTCGCAAGCTAAACACCGGTCAGTGACATTCAACACAGACAAGAACAAACAACGGAGGATAGTCTACCCAGTCGATGGCGATTCATAGACCGACCCAGATACCAGGGGTCTATGTGATGGAGTTTCTGATATGGACGAAATCCTGTCGATTCGATCACACCTCATTTTCATGGATATCAAAGTTCACAACTACGAACTGCCCCTCCACACTGTGACTACGATTTCCAAACTAGCTTTGCATACAACCACCTGGTGATTAGTGATTACACTGAAATCGATACATTTGAGACCGGTACTATATTTCAAACGAGACATTCACATTTGCGGAGACTTTGAATGCTCCCGCTCCATGGTGAGAAACACACATTAGTACTCAAGACATCGAGACTTATTTGCAAATCCGTTGGAAGGGAATGAACACTCTGATTGAAAAAGCTTTGCCATTATCGTATAGTTGAACTGACAATGTGCGATTTCTATTTACCAGTAAGTGATTCCTTCCAGAAGATACGATCACCTTGAAATCATCAATAAAATCAATCCTTCTGGATATTATCTTGGATGGCTCTGATGAAGGGATCAATATACACGGTGTAATGAACGCCATCATACCCCAAAACAGATAAGAAGGATGACCAACTGTGTGGCGTAAACCAATCAAAGAGAGTCGACCAAATGAAACAGCAGTGAGTACGTTCAAACTACCTAGTGATAAACGAACGCAGAATTGCCAGATTTCGTGTGCCTGTGAAGACGTTTAATGTTGGAAGATGCAGGTGAAAACATCGTCAACGTCACGTATTAGAATGGGATGAACATGGCATGAGCGTGGGCTACCAGAACGAAGTCAGGGGATGATAGTAGGTGAACAAACTGAGTCAAAAATGCCCAGTTAGTCGAAGCATGGATCTAGCCTGAATGCGGCCTGATAATAGGACAAGTTATGGCGTTGTTGCTGATTCACAAAAACAGCCATTACATCCCCCCTTCTAGCATTCTCATTACAGCAGTCTGAGATGTTTCAGCCGCTATAATCGTTAGTTCATCAAGACAAATTCTGTTCCCAAGGTTAACTTGTCCAAATCGAACGCGAAAGGTCCAGAGTGGGACGAAATTCAAAAATCGTTTGACTTTCCGAAGGTAAATTTATCTAAAGCACTCAAATGAAAAGCGAATTGGAAACGACGGTATATGAATTCCCTAAGCTATTCATTTCAATGCCAACCATGCCCCCTGAAAAAACTTGTTGAAGACCAACTTGTTAGTTCCACGGAAGATATAAGTGAAGATCCTCCCGGAACTGAACGTACCCGTCATGAGTACTGATAACCAAGCAGCATTAAGCGATTGCGACCGTTTGGTTCCGCATGTCAAAAACGAGGGGGTTCCAAACTGAGCACTGATGTTCATATATGTTGGAAGGCATCTTTGATTTAGTCTGTTTCGATTCAATGCCTACCCCGTTAAGGGCCTATATATGTATTTCTCTAAGCCAAGTATGAGCCCTTGGAAATGTAGGTGTTAGAGACAACAATGTTCCATATAATCACATGAGATCCATGAATGGAACGGATCTCGCTGAAAATCTCGGGCGTCATGCTCATGGTTATTGAGGAAATTAGCTTGTTTCATGTGAGTGATGAAGGACTTGATTCAATTTAGAAGGGGAAATTCATAGCGCATGTAGCAAATGAAGCGTGAACTAAACAGCTAGAAAGCACTGAATAGCTGTTTCGACCTGGTTGGGTCTCATCATCAGTGCAACTCCATCGACCCAACTGGTGATCGAACCCTGGACCCCATGAGCAGAAGGTAGAACGGTGGCGGAGTGGGCAATTCTACCTTTGACGTCCCGCGTTCGATCCCCAGCTGGGTCGATGGATTCTAACTGCTGATGAGACCCAAGCAGATCGAAACAACTGTTCAGTGCTTCCTAGCATTTTAGTTTACGCTTGAACGGAAAGTAGCTTATCATAGCCATGATGAACGAAAAAACCAAAACATAAGATGTTGAAGACAAAGTTTCGACCCTCTTGAGAGGCCTTTGTCAAGTCCTTTAATCGGTTATTCTTACGCTATCAGCAATTATAAGGCAAGGGGATGATGGCGTCTTATAGCACTCTGATTTGATTCTGGCGAGCAAGCGCGTGTGTGTTAGTGATCGTTCGATGGGTGGTTGGAACGAGTGAAAATTGTTTGACCTTGAGGGCAAAATGTATGTCAGTCATGTGGCATTGGGTTGGGAACGAGACCTAATGTGGATGCACCATTGTTCATTTTGCCATAACTGTGGAATGACTGTCTCATCAGATATGTTGATTGCCATTGGTTTGGCGTTGATCAGGAGCGCTTCGGCTACCAACCGTTCCTTGTGACTTCTGAAGCAACACTTGAAGATGTGAACTTTCGGAATCAACCGCATGTCCTGCGTGAACAGCGATTGAGGAATAGTGTTCCACTCAATTCCAACTTGTTGCATCATTTGGAACCGTCTTCGTTAGACTCATGTGCTCAATCACTCGTTCATCCAGGCTTCTGGACGTCTGGCCGAGAAAAGTTACAGGATAGCATAGATAACGTATTCTAAAAACTACGTCGGAAGTATCCGCGGGATTTGAGATTAACCAGACTTTAAGTAGATTTTGTTGGTATTAGGGTTCCATATATTTTATCTAACCTCAGAGAATGATGCGTAACGGAAAAAATTGGTTTGAGAGAGAACAAACCAGTGCCGGTAAGAAAGCATCACTCGTCTCTACGTTTTATTGAAATGAAGATGCCGCAGTCAAAATAGGAATCCGAGTATCGTTCAAGAGACTGTCAAGCGCAAATGCATATTCTGGATATTGTATGTTACTTGATAACCTGGTCAGTACTCATCTATCCATTTTAGCGTATTGTTTTGGTGTCACTCACGAAGATCATCCACGGCGGCAGCTGTCTAAAAGTATCATGGAACTTCATCTTCTACACAGTAGAAGCGTTGGGGATCGAGGTGACTTTAAGTTTGATCATTTGAACTCCGGTTAAAACTGAATAATGTATGGACAAAACAGCAGCTTTTTCAAGCATTAGTCATTCCACAAGATACAATTTTAGGAGTATAATTATCATAAGAACCGAGGCATTAGCGTTTTTACGTTGAAACCAGATTTGTATGCTCAAAAACTCCAATTCTAATATAAAACTACTCGAACCGAAGACAAGCCACTCGGGGCATAAACGTGATAAGAAAGTGGATGTTATTGATGTTGTACCAAGTTACGCGTTTGCTTCCGAACAGGATAACCTGAGACTGTTACCTTATACTCCTGCTGCCAGATTCACATAAGTTGACCTCAAACTCGCCACCGAATTACTCTCTAGTTATTTTTTCTCACAAACATGAGAATGAAGTCATCCTCAAACGAAGGATTCAACGGCAAGTGAAATTAAAGCATAACTCCAAACCAAATTCGCAGTTCGAATAAACCTGGTGAGCCCGCCAGCAGTCCTTGAGAATCGTTGTGTCACAGCAGTGAATGAGATTTAGGATCAGTAGTAAAATTCATCGTTGTGACGCAAATTTCTATTGATCTAGCTGAAACCCACGCACACACTGAACAAGCATCATGTTTGCGAAGTAAAAATGCAAGGCGTTCAATCAATAAAATTATTTGAAAGAAAGACCA